AAAAAAACTGATTTCATAGAAGCAGAGAATAGAATGATGGTTGTCAGGGGCTGGGGGAGGGAGAAATGGGGAGATGTAAGTCAAGGGTGCAAACTTTAGTTATAAGAAGAATAAGTTCTAAAGATGTAATATACAGCATGGAGACTATAGTAAATGATATTGTATACTTGAAAGTTCTGAGAATAGTTCACAAATATTCTCACCCATACACAAAGAGTTAACTATGTGAGATAATGAATTTGTTCATTATCTTGATTTTGATAATAATTCATATATATGTAAATATAGAAAAATTTTAATATATAATTACATAAGTTATATGTAAAATTAAATTTATATAAATTTAATATATAAAATTAATATACATTAAATAGTTATAATTTGTCAATTATTTCTCAATAAAGTTGGAAAAAAGGGATATTGGCAACAATATATAAAACAAATATTGAGCAACAGGAAGTATGGAATTATGATCCTTGAGAGCAATAAAACTAATAAGAGAGTTTGTTCTGGTGTATAGTTCCAAAATAAATTATACACATATCAGCAGCTTACCTACATCCTTGCAATAGCCAGGTAGTAAAATACTTTGTTTTCTGTAATCAAAAACACTATTCATTGTAAGAAGTAAAATGGAAACACTGATAGTACCTTTAAAAGCTAAAGACATGTGTTGTGTTAACTCATAAGATAGCAGTTCCACTCTTTGATATATATCGAACAGAATTGTGTGTGTGCATATTCACCAAAAGAGATGCATTAGAATGTTAATAGCAGTACAATAACTCCAAACTGAAATACACAATTGCCCACTGATAGGATGGGTAAATGAATTGTTAAATACTATACAGCAATGAGAATATACGGTCTACAACTACAATCAACAACGTGAGTGCATCTCATAAATGTAAGGTTGAACAAAGGAGATCTGACACCAAAATAGTAAATATTATTTGATTTCTCTTATATGAAGTAAAAAAATAGGCAAAAATAATCAGGAGGAAGTCTGAATAGTGATTATTCTTGACAACGGAGTAGAACACTAAAGAGACTCCTTAATGCTTGAAATATTTTGCTTCTGGATATGCACAATGTTTACTGTTGTGTAATTAATTTATGAAAATTGATTGAGCTGTACTTTTATAATGTATGCTATTTCCTATATTTAAATTTTACTTAAATAATATTTTTAAAAATACATTAGGAATTCTTTACACAATTTTCTGGTTAAAAGTTGCTGTAGTGAATTTATGACAATTTAAATAATTGAACTCTAAAAACTCAAATTTTTCTAAAGTATGAAATTAATAACTATCTGCCTCACATTCCAAAGACTGACAAGGACTTTCTGTCAGTGCCTACTGAAGAACAAGAGACATAATTTGTCTCGTGTCATCAATTCATCATAATTTTCCACTTTTTTATCCCTTTGTCACTCAGTTGAATGCTTAACCTAGAGAAGTCTAGATATGATTAAGTGAATTTCATATTTAAAATTTTTTTTTACAAGTTCAGTGTATAGTATATAGTGGCATTTTCCCTGTTTGTGTGTGTATTCGGTGCTTTTGTCCCATAGCATAGATTTCAGGACCCGGTGGTGTCTTGAAACAACATCTCCTATCTGTCAGGGCTAATCCTCCCCTTCTACTGGAATGGCCAAAGAGAAAAAAGACTGATAATCCCAAGTGTTAGTGAGGATGCAGTCAATGGGAATTCTCATACAGTGTGGCCTGAATGAGAAGCTGAGAGTGTAACTGTTCTTGAAGGAGTCAGGAAATTTTCAGAGAATACATTCGATTTATCTTGAAGCTTATATTTTAGTAGAAGAGATAGATAATAAACAAAATAAAGTAATAAATGCTGTATTAAAAATACATAGAAGAATTGTAACAAATGTATCACTCTTGTGGGGGATGTTGATGATGGGGGAGGCTGTGCATGTGTGAGGGTAGGGAGTCTATAGGAAATCTCTGTACCTTCTCAATTTTGCAACGAATCTAAAACTGCTCTAAAAAGTAAAACTTAAGAAATAACATGGAAGGGACGAAATATTAAGGCTGGGATGTGTGATTTAAAATATGAACAAAGAAGGCTTTCCTGAGGTATCATTGTGTAAAAAGCAAAAGAGATGAAGGACTAAGCTTGGTAGATATGTTGCAGAAAAGTGCTCTGGTAGAGTGGAGACTAGGAATAAAGACTCTGAGACAGGACTATGTCTGGTATCTTCCAGGACTAGCAACAAGATTAATGTTGCTGAATAGAATAAATGAAAGGGAGAGTTCTCTAAAATAAGTTTTCAGAGCTAAGGAGAGAGATAATGCCAGTGTATTAGGGCCTTGTAAGTATTATGAAGATTAGCTTTTATGTAAATGAGCTGAGAAAACATTGGAGGATTCTGATCAGAAAGATAATACAATCTGCAAGACATTTTAAAAATCTCACTGCTGTGTTGAGAATAAACTCTGTTGGAGTAAGGGCAGAACCAGGGAGACCAATTAAGAGACTAATGCAAAAATCTAGATAAGCGATTAATAGACGATGGTGGCCTGGTGCAGGAGGCTAACAGACTGATAGCAATGGAGGTGATGTGAGATAGACAACTAATTAATATTTTGATGAAAAAATATGGTTTTTTCATCAACATTTACCACATCTGGTAATCTTCATTCTTTTGTGTAGATCCACATTTCTATATGGGAGAACTTTCCTTCTGTCTGAATAATTTCCTTTAACCTTTCTTGTAGTGCTAGTCTAGTAGAGATGAATTCTCTCAGCTCCTGTTTGTTTTAAAAAGTTTTTATTTCACATTCATTTGTAAAAGGTATTTTTGCAAATCTAGGTTGACTTTATTTTTCTCCTTTGATATTTAAAGATCTCTCTCAGTTGTCTTCTTGATTGCATGGGTTCTCATATCAAGTCTACAGTTTACCTTAACTTTGTATTTTTATTTGCATTCTGCCTTTTTTCTAATTCCTTTATAATTTTCTCTTTATCATCAATTTTCAACAATTTGATTATGATGCTCCTTGGTGTGGTTTTCATCATGTTGCTAGAGGCTTGCTGAAATTCTTGAGTCTTGGATTTATAGTTTTCATTGAATTTATAAAAAAATTTGTTCATTATTTCTCAAAAAATATTTTCTGTTCTTCCACCTATTTGACTCAAATTACTCATATATTAGACACCACAAGTCAATGCTCTTCTGTTAATTCTCCACGCCCTCTAGTTTCCTCTTCTTTCTATGCTTTATTTTGGATAGTATATTGGTACATCTTTAAGTTTACAGATCTTTCCTTCTGCAACATCTAATCTGTTGTAAATTTTTTACCTTCAGATATCACAATATAACCTAATAAATTTCTTTATAGTAATTTCTATTACTTAGAACCAAAATTATCCTAAGGAGTTTACTATTCTAAAATATATCTTCTGTATAGCTACCAGAATAACCACCTTAAAATGCATGTCTGACTATAAGGCCCTATGTAATCTGGCCTTACATTCCTTCTCTGACCTTATCTCCTTCTCCTCTCCATCCCACTTATTCTGCTCTATTCTTACAGTTCTCCTGACTGTTCCTGACTGTCTAGACATGTTCTTGCTTCAGACTATTTGTAGTGGCTGGAGAAAACTCCTTCCTAGAGTGTCTTTCCACCAGGTATTAGCCAGGTTTACTCCCTCATCCCCCTCACATCTTTGCTCAAACATCGTCTTTTCAGTGAGGCTTGGACCAACCACCCTGTTAAAACTGTAGCACACTCCCCACCAGCACTCCTAATTCCTCTTACCCAACTTAATTCATTTTTAACAACACTTTCACTTCTAATACTTTATACATTTGCTTATCATTGTTTATTTTTAGTGTTTCCAATAAAATGTAGATTCCACTAGGTGTTTGTTTTTGTTTTACTATTTTGTTCACTAATACATTCACACACCAAAAATAATACCTGGAATGTAGTATTTATTTTGTGTTCTCAATAAATATTTGTGGGAGTGAATGAATTAATTCCTCTATGGAAAAATCCTTCAGTGATTCTTTGTGAAAAGTAGAACATTAATGTTCAAGATTGTTAGCAGGTCATACAAAATCTGCTTGGAATAAATGCCTACTGATCGGTCACAATTCACCCTCTGCAACTCTTTCTTTGCTCTTTAAAATTCTATCATGCTACTCATCACTTAGTGCACATACAATGCTGTCTCATGCTCCCATATCATAGTTGGTAAGGTAACTTCCATGTTTCACTGTCGGCTTATTCCCAGTTTTCCTTTAATACTCAACTCATCCCCAGAGTTCTTCAGAATTAGATTGCATTCATGATTTTATTCAGTAAAATTGTGATGTAGCACTAAACTCTGGTTATTTTTATTTCTCTCATTTAATTTTTTCATTGATAACAACAAATAATTGTCCAATATAAACTGCACGAGTCTCAGCCAGGTGTTGCTGATACAAGGGATAAATAAACCAACTACTGTAGTTCAAGGAGCTGCTTTAAAGCATTCAAAGGCTCCCAAAAGTTTTTAGAATAAGGTCCAAATCCTTGACCCAATATCGAAAGCACTTCACAGTCCTTCCCTGGCCTCCTCTCTCTTTAGATTCACTAGTGTAGACCAGGTGCCCACTCGGCTCCAGTGATTCTAAACCACTTGTATCTTATTATATCATAGCTCTGTATTTCTACTAGTGTTGGTCTAGTTCAAATTTATTCTTATTAAGAGAAATCTAATAAAATTTTAGCTCCAGTGAAAGGTTTGTATGTGTGGTGGTGGTGGGGAGAAGGGTAATAGTGTAAGATGTTGAAAAGGAGTACAGCCAGACTTGGTGGGAAACAAAAGGCTTTCAAGAATTATAGCTGCTACTGTCTGTCTTTTGTTCTCCAGAGGCTTTGCTCTGTTTCCCTTTCTTCTTCCTCTGGCAGTTTTCTCTGCTTACTCATGGTTTCTGATCCTACAGCATATTGGCTCACACATGACATTGACTCACTCCTTTGTCTCTAGTCTACTTTGCCTTAGCATAAAGTGACCTACCAGAGCAGCACACCATCACACATGTACACCATCGTGAGTATATTCTTTTTTTTTTTTCACATTCTTGAAAGATAACCTCATTGACTCAGCTCTGCCTGCTGATCAGTTCTCTGTGGGTCAAGTCAGCTATCTCAGGAGTGGGGGCTCAGATGTTTCAGAAGCTATATGTGAGGCAGGTTAAATGAGAAAGAAAAGTCTGGCATACCTGGCAAAATGTGAGTACACTGCACCCTCAGTGTTCAAACATATCCTCTCTTTCTGGCTTATTGGAAGAAATATGAAAGGAATTTATGTCAAGTCAGATCTCAGTTCTACTACTTATTTCTATGGGACTCTTGATCAGTATATCACAGCTTCTGCAGCCTCATACACAAAATGTGGATAATGTACCATGCAGGGTTACTGTGAGGATTACATAAGAAAAAGATCAGTAAGTGCCTTACATAGGGATTGGTTCATGATAAATACCCCTAAAATATTACATTCCTCTTTCTTTGTGTCTACGAATTTCAGCTATGGTATCATTTCATCTTGCGAATCTGCTGGGACTCCTTTCCAACAACAAGCAGAACTGTAAGCCTCTCCTTCTCTCTGTGTTATCATAATACATTTTATTATTTATCTTACTGTATTAAACTGTTGCAATTTCTGGGTTTTTTTTCCTCCACTATAGTGAAATCAACTTGAAGTCACTACTTTTTCTTACTTATTCTTGTATCCCCACTGCTAACACATTGTTTAGCATATAATAGAAATTCAATGTTTTTGAAATAAATGGATGAATGAATGCTGCATGGATGAAAACGAATGAATGAGTGACAGTGGGATTGAGCCAGTCATTCAATAAAGTAATACTAGAAATGAAGTTAACAACCTTATCCCACCCACTCTTAATTAAAGCAGTTCAAAGGACCAGGCCAGAGTCAGCCTGGTTGACGAATAGGACAGATTCTGTGTGCCAAAAGCATCACACTGTTTGAAAATATTTTTCTTCTAAATGGAAGCCCAGGAACAAAGCCTAAGTTAAAAGCCCCTTAGGCTATGAAGAAACAATGGAAACTTGGAGTCATGAACTAAGCCCCATTTCGACTTTGGATAAAACACCTAGTTACACTTTCTATACTCATAAGGAAGGAAATTTTAAAAACCTGGAGGCTCTGAAAGTGTGAACATCATCTTTTTATATTTTAAAAATCTTTTAATTCTCCAGAGGTTATAGTGGGTTTTTTAAAGTATTTGCTACATTTCTATTCTATCTAAATCTGTGTCCTACTTTAGACGAAAGAGATAAAAATCACTGCATTTTCATAACTGAAAATCTTAAAATGTAGAACACTCATCACCCTAAACCAGGGTTTCTCAACCAGCACTACAGATATTCTGGGCTTGATAATTTTTTTTTTGGGGGGGGGGGGGGTGGGGCTCTCCTATTTGAGGGGTTGTCCTATGCTTTGCATGATGTTTAGTAGCCACCCACGCCTTCTACTCACTTGCTACCTCTGCTCACTAGAAGCACCCCCGCCCCAAGTTGTAACAACCAAAAATGTCTCCAGACATTGCCAAATGTCTCCTGGGAGGCAAAATAACCTTCGGTTGAAAATCATTCACTATAATAAATATTTACAGACAATTATTTAGGATACTTGATCTTCCTTTTTTCTCAGTCTGCCAAGTTATATTTGCTGTGCCAAAAAAGTCTTGAGATGGCATCTAGTCCCTCATTCTGAGTTTCAAGAGAGATGTAGCTCCACCAACTCAGAACCATGGTAACCGAATATAATATAGGCCGTGATACTGCAAAATATTTGTCATTAAGGATTTTGATAGAAGTGTTTGTGAATATGATAGAGAAGAAGGCATTTAGCTAAAACCTTCAGAGTTAGAGGGAGTTACACGGGCCCAGCAGATCACTAAAACAGGAAGTTTATGGTGGCATTGTTTAATGACATGAGATTTAAAGCTGGTACTTTGTAAGAAGAAAGGCAGAAGAGTGATATGGATGAGGCAGTGAGGAGCCACCACCTACAGGTCCAGAGGTATGAGGGGTATGGGAGAGAAAACAACTACCACTAAAAGAGGACCAATGGAGAAGCAATCCTTGGAGGAAAGACAGGTTTAAGTTACAGAAAGAAAATGAAAAAGATATTGAGCCCATAGGAATTTTGCTGATGACTGATCCTGAGATCCAGGGAATACAGGCAAAGGAGTTCAGAAAATGTGGAAGATGGTGTCAGAAAAAGAAATGTTCAGAGCCATATGGGAATTACAGACTGGAGGTTGGTGGATGACTAGGAAGTCTTGGGCTTCTTGTGGTGACGTATGTAAACAGGAAGAAAAGGAATGGTAAGTCCTGATAGTCACAAGACAGATGGATATAAGGGTCTGGCCAGGACACACTAAGTTCTGGGTATCCCTTTTAACTATGGCTGAGGAAAGGAGTATGGAGGCTAGGGAAGAGACAGCTTATAGAATCTCTACTGATATATCCTGACATTATCTACATTAATTTCAGTCCCTTGACCGTTTCTTTTCCAATAACATTGTCCTCCACCCGACCTGAGGTGTTCCCTCCCATGGGCACATCCTTTCACTACAAAATTATCAGTAATTTAATTCTATCTATAGACTCAATTTCAAGCACCATGCTCTTTAATCATTACTTCTTACTTAGCTTACTCTCTCCAGTTTTCCAAATTCGAATAATTCTTCACCACAAGGAAGCTCAAATCTACTTATCTTATCACTTTTCACTGTCTCTCACACTCTCAAGCCCTCTTTTCCCTCCATACCTTGCTAAAATGCCATGGTTGGTCTGTATAATCACTCCTTGTTTACATCTTCCACTTTTCCCCCCCTTTTCATGTCTTTGCATCCACTTTTGTGAACCAAAACAAAAGTTGAATTCAAATAACAACTTATTTGACTGCTGTCTACTTTATTTGTCTAGTTCACATATTTTCCCACTCTCTTGGGTGACTATTTCATATCTTCTTTTCTCTCAAATTCCAACATCTCTTCCCTATTGCCATGTCAGCTGATGACCTTCCTTTCAATTTCACTGGGAATACAGTAGAAGTAATTAGGATAAATTTCTATACATTCCCACCAGCACATTTCTCTCCCTGCCTATATCTGCGTCCATGGAATCTGCTTCCCCTTCTCTCTGTATGAGTATAGTATCAGTAACCCTAATAAACACCACACCCTATACTTTGACACTAGATCACATCCCCTTTCCTCTACTCAAGGATATATCAAAGCAATTCTTTTTAATGTATTATTAGCTTTTTCCATCCCTATTGGATCATGTTTAGACAATGAACATACACTTATTACTTACATCTCTTTAAAACATTCCTTTTTGACTTCACATCCCCTTTCAGCTACTGCTCCATTTCTTCTTTTCTCTCTGCAGCAAAAATCCTTGGAAAACACTTCTACACTTGTTTTTCCAATTTTCCTAGTCTCGATCTATATTAAATCCATTCTAATCTACTATCTCTGATAACACTCCACTAAAACTTCTTTTATCAAAGTCAGCAAGACCTCTATAGTGCTAATCAAGAGTAAATTCTCATTACACATTATACTCTACCTAGCTGTGGCATTTGACATGGCTGATTATTTCCTGCTTCCTATTCCGAAAACATTTGTTTCACTGGTTTTTCAGAACCCTCTGTTGGTTTTCTTTCTACTTTTTAAATTATTCCTTCTAATTTACCAACTTGTTAATGTCATCATGTGCCAGCGTTTAGTGCATATACTTCCTGTCTTCTCAGTTTATACCATTTCTTTGGTGACCTCATTCAGAATCATGGCTTTAGATATAATATATATGCTAATGATTCTTAAATTTACATTTCCAGTAAGAATTACTCCTCTCAACTCCAGACTCATGTACTCATCTATCCATTCAGCATAAACCATTAGATGTCTCAAACCTAATGATCAAAATTAATTTATCAATTTGTGTTTCTGTCTTATGAAAGACAGAAATGACAAATTCATTTTCCCATCACTCAGGATTCAGTTACCCTTGAGTCCTCCTTCTCTCATGCCTATATCAAATGCATCAGCATATCCAGAATCCTACTAATTCCTCACCATTACCACCACTAACATTTTAGCCCAGACCATCATAAACTCTCACTAAATATTTCAATAGTACCCTAACTTGTCTCCTTAATTCTATCCTTAATTACTTATAGTTTATTCTCAATATATCATGCAATGATTCTGTTCAAACCTATCTTAAGTCAGTTCAGGCTACTATTGCAAAAATACCACACACTGGGTGGCTTAAACAACAAACATTTATTTCTCACAGTTCTGGAGACTGAGAAGTCCAAAATCTAGGGCCTGGTGAGACCCCACTCTTGGTTTATATATAGCTACCTTCTAGTTGTGTTCATATGGCTAAGAACAAAAAGAGAGGAAGCGAGCACCCTGTATCTGTTTTCTTATAAGAGCACTAATCCCATCATGAGAGTTCCACCTTCATGAACTAATTACCTCCCGAAGGCCACATCTCCAAATACCATCACATTGGGGACTAGAGTGTCAATATGTGAATTTTAGGGAAACACAAACACTCAATACATAGCAAAATCTATATCAGATCATGCCATTTTTCTGCTGAACACTCCCTTCCCCCTCCCCACTACCCAATAGATTTTAAACTGACCATGAGAAAAAGCTTAAATTCTTATTAAGACTTGAAAGACTTATACGGTCTGCTCCCTGTCTTAACCCATTCACTTCTCTGTTCTCGTCTCCCACTATTCTCTAAGGCACTCATCTCCAACTACCTGGCTCTCTGCTGCCCTTCAACCATTCCAAGCAAGTACCTTTGGACTTACTGTTCCGACTGTTCATTGTTTCCCCAGATAACTATAAGACTGAATTTCCTCACCTTCTTTAGGCTATTTATATCAACCTAAGGCCATCTCTGCCTACACTATCTCGAATTACCCCCTCTTAAAAACAATCCTTGTGGTTATTTCTCTGCATTAATTTTGTCTTTATCACCTATCATAATGTAACATTTAATAAATTTATTTATTTGACTAGTTTTATTATTTGCTTTCTCTTCTAGAAATCTAAATGAATAATATTGATCTCAAATGCACATTTTATTTAGGCATAGTTTGGGTTAATATTTTCATCAGTGATGGAAAATGGCTTAAAAGCAAAGCTATCATTACTGAATAAAAAGCAGCCGCTCATGATGCCAAGGTTTTAAATTTGTTGTCAGTGATCAGAGTTACAAGTTCTACCTAAAAATACCATTGTGGCTGTCAACATTTGTAGAAGGCTTATTTCATAAGTGATTTATGCTGTGACTTTCCTCATAGTATGGAAAAGTTAAATGCAGAAGGAAATCCTAAAGAAAGAGAGAAATTTGAAAATGTAGGCTAATGAAAAGGATAAATTATTCAGCTAAAGTTTTAAATAAAGCAAAGTAGAAATAGAAACAAAAGAAAAGAGGGGAAAATATGCTTTCTATGACACTTATAAAAATAAAAACAGTTTAGGTTTTTAAAAGCTATAGAGACAGTAGGGCCTTGAAGAAG